CTAGACTAAACATAACCATGATAGATGATTGATTGATAGAGATAGATAGATAGATAGATAGATAGATAGATAGATAGATAGATAGATAGATAGATAGATAGATAGGCATGCATGCATGCAAGCAGGCAGGCAGGCACTAGACTTTTCACTAGACTAAACATAACCATGATAGATGATAGATAGATAGATAGATAGATAGATAGATAGATAGAGATAGAGATAGAGATAGAGATAGAGATAGAGATAGAGATAGAGATAGAGATAGAGATAGAGATAGATAGGCAGGCAGGCACTAGACTTTTCACTAGAGTAAACATATCCAATTCCAACATGATAGATGATAGACAGACAGACAGACATAAACATTGAACTCTCTTTCATGGATGAATCATGGAATCGTAGAGCTAGAAGGGAGCTTAGAATCCTTTTATTCCAACCCCTTGCCCAAGTCAGGAGTCCTCATACCATCCTAGATAAATGGTTGTCCATTATTTTCCTTGAAATCCTCCAGTGATAGAGCATCTACAACTCCAGGAGGCAAACTGTTCCATTGCTTAATTATTTTCACTGTCGGGAAATTTCTCCTTATTTCTAGGTTGGTTCTCTCCTTATTTATTTATTTATTTGATTTGCCAATTGCTTACAAGATAACAGGTATAAGTATATACATAGTTATGAATAACATGAAATGGGTACATAGAAACAATAGGACAGGGACAGTAGGCACTTTGGTGCGCTTATGCACGCCCCCTACAGACCACTTAGGAAAGGTGTGAGGTCAATAGTAGACCTCACCCCTTTCCTTGATGAGCTTCCACTTATTGCTTCTTGTCCTGCTCTCAGGTGCATTGGAGAATAAACCAAGGCCCTCTTCTCTGTGACAGCCACTCAAGGGTTGGAAAATGCTATCCTCTAGTCCTTCTCTTCGTTAGGCAAAACATCTGGTTTCCTAAGACATTCATCATAGACTTTAGCCTCCAAACTCCCAATCATCTTTGTTCATCTTCTCTACGGAAGAGGAAGAGAGAAAAGTCAAGACAGGTTTTACATTCATAAATATACCTGGATGATATATGTTAATTAAGAAATTGACCTTTTCTCTTCCCACATTTTGAACTGATTAGTTTTATCCTGAGTTTTTGCAATTCCCTATTATTGAGAGAATGGTTCACGTAGTGGTTTCTCCTGTTCTTTTATTATTAGCATGGGATCAACCTTAGGGTGACTATGAGTCAGTTAGAGAGGAAAAACTGGCCTTACTTCACAGAGCTTTCAAAATGTTCGTAAGAAAGATTTCTGAGTCTAAATTAAGTACTTTGGTTTATGACATTTATTAATTTTGGTGC